AGTCAGTGCCTCCGCCATCGTCCCCTGCCTGTCCCCTCCTGGGTCACTGGTATTTGAGGATTTTGCTAACCTGACACCCTTTGTCAAGGAAGAGCTGAGGTTTGCCATCCAGAACAGGCACCTCTGCCATTGGATGTCCTCTGCACTGAAGTCAGTCATGATCAGCGACAGACCACTGGAGATGTCAGTCACAAAAGCTGAGGTAGCTCCTGAGGATGATGAAAGGAAAAAGAGGCAGTGGGAAAGAAATAAGATCACAGCCACCAAGTGCCAAAACAAGCAAAAGGAAAAGATGGAGTGCCTGCAGTCAGAGAAGCTGGAAAGTCTGAATGCCGAACTAAAGGCCCAAATTGAGGAGCTGAAGAATGAGAAGTAGTATTTGATATACATGCTCAACCTGTGTCAGTCCATGTGTATTGTCTGGGCTCAGAATGGGCAGACTCCAGAAGATGAGAGAAACCTCTTTATCCAACAGATAAAAGAAGGAACACTAAACAGCAACTGGGGAGTCCTCATCAAATACTCCTTTCCCATCTAAAGCCCTGATGCCATTGGAAAACCGACTACCTGTGCACCTCTAGAATCCCAGCAGCTGAGAACCACTGAGGCAGGAGGGCCCATGGTGAGTGATTCTACTGGGCCTTCCCACTCTGCTGCAGAATGAACTTTAGACCAGCGGGCAAGAGCATCCTTTGCTTCAGCTCCAGGATTTAGGCCTTCACATAGTGGCTGTTCTTAGATGTTCCAGATGGCCCCTGATTAGGGTCCTGTCTGCTTTCATGTAGGTTCTACAAGAACCAGGATGCCCACCATTAGGATTCAAGCAAAATTATCTGTACCTTGGGGGGATGGAATGGCACATCTCCTCCACTTCAGCTGCCGCTGTTGCTCATAGGAGACATGGAGTGAGAACAACACTTATTGAAGTTGTACAATGGCCAGGGTTGTGCTTTTTAGAGCATATGCTGTTTATCCTGGGATTACTGTGTGCAAGGCATTCGTTTCAAAACTAGGTATTATGTTCTTTTGATGTTTGTTTCATACAACACTGATGTGTAACTTTTCCGTGGTTTTCCTCAGATCTGGTTTCTAAGAGTCTGGAGGGTCCATCTCCATGGGCAGTATCTTACAAAAATGTTTGGGTCCCCAGAAGAGCTTTCCAGCTCCAGGAGAGCAGAATTGTCCTGTTGACCAGCAGAGCAAGTTTGTGTCAAAGAGAAGGCCTCCTTTTTCCCTTGGCACCCAGGTGTTAAGGGGAAATCTATGGGTGTTACAGTGGGTCCTCTGTTGCAGCTCAGTTACAATGTCACAGGAAGTATGCAGAAAGAAAGTCCAATTTCCAAAGGAAATTAGGTCTATCTACTCAGTGACTTTGTCAAGAGTTATCTCTAGTGGAAGAGCCAAAGAATATTCCATTTTCCTTTTCTAGTGGTAAAATCTGGTCAGTGGAGATGCATGTTTAAAGCCTGTTAATACCCAGGCTTTAGCATTACTGGATGTTAATGGCATTGTTTTTGTCATGTATCTGTCTTAAGAAATCTGKCCCAGAGCATTTGCAGCTGTGAGATGTCACTCACACTGCTCACAGGACTATGGCTACTGTCTGATAAAATTCTGATGTTTCTATGAAATCCTCAGTGTTTAAGCTTTCTCAATAGTATCATTACAATTTTCTGTAAGAGAAAATATTATTTATCCTAGTATCCTTAACCTGTTAATATAATAAACTTTGGACCAAAAAAAAAAGGTGATCAGTATCATCACTTGGTGCTCATCTAATCTCATTTCTAGGAATAAGTCCTATTTGCTACTGACCCAAATCCTTGTAGATCAAGGCCCCAAATTGCAAAGTCAGCCTTGTTTCCCCTTTCAGCAACTACACCCCTCTTGCTTCTAACAATAAAATGTTATCATATGATCCCTGTTACATGAAATTCTAGATCCTCAATGGCATTAAGGAAATAAGTTTCTTGGAAGCTCTCTTGTCCTCACCTGGGAACATGAGAGGACAAAGCCTTTTAGTGATGCTGTGCTCACCTTACTAGTACATTCTATATTGCTTTTGTGAGGGGAGTGGCTTGTGGACCCTCTCTGGGAACATAATCAGCAAGTGAGTTCCCTGAAGTCACAATAATTCAATTCTTTCTTCTCTTTTGCTGAAACTCATGACTATCCGTATTTTCCAAAGAAGTCACAGCATCCAATTATTAACTATGACAATACCTTGTAAGTCCTCAAAGAACCCTCCCAGCAGCATTTATGGGCCAGCATCACATGATAGTTAATTTCTGTCAATACAAATTGGACATATTATGCAGCTCAGTTGATCAATCAGTTATTTTCTCCCACAGCAGTGACTTTATTTTCTTACTAAGACTCTGCTGGGACCTGAACCTAATTATTGGTACAAAGGCCATGAAGTGGGACACAGTAGAATCTGAGATGAGATTGACTTTTTAGGAGACCTTTGTTTGACAAGAAGAAAATGGGATATCACTGTCCTCTAGCAAAGGTAGAACTATTTCTATAGGACTGAAGGATGTTTTAGGGGAATCTGGGAGTTTGAGAGTCTTAAGAAAATCCCACTGTATAATCCCTTCCTTGGTGTAATGGTCTTCCTTCAGCATTAGTATCCCAATTTAGCATAGAAGACCCATAGAATCTGTTAATTCAGCATCCTTTAAACTCCACCACTATTCTAATTAAATCTTGTTTTCTGTTTGTCATCTAAGAGATAATGGTATTATGATTTAGGTATGTGATGTCCCCCAAAAGCTCATGGGTGAGACAATGCAAGAAAATTTAGGGAGGCTGGGTATGATGGCACACACCTATAACCTCATTGGCTTGGAAGGCTGAGGCAGAAGTATCATAAGTTAAAGCCATCCTTGGAAACATAGGCCATAAGCAACTTAGTGAGACCCTGTCACAAAATTTCAAAAGGGTTGGGGATGTGGCTCAGTCATTAAGTGCCTTTGGGTTTAATCCCTAGCACAAAAAAAGGAAGAAAGAAAGAAAGAGAGAAAGAGAGAAAAGAAAGTTTAGAGATAAAATGATTGGGTTATAAAAGCCATAACACAATCAGTAAATTAATCCCTGGATAGGGATTAACTGAGTGGTGACTGTAGGCAAATAGAGTGTGTATGGAGGAGGTAGGTCACTAGGGGCATGCCCTTTGGTTTTATATTTTGTCCATAAAGAGAATCCTCTCTCTGCTTCTTGGTGTGATGTCTTGAGCAACTTTCCTCTACCACACCCTTCCACCATGATGTTCAGCCTCACCTCAAGCCCCAAAGAATGGAACCAACCATCTTTAGGGCCGAGACCTCTGAAACCCTGAGCCCCCAAAATAAAAATTTCCTCCTCTATGTTGTTTTTGTCAGATCTTTTGTTCACAGAAGAAAAAAAAAGTTTACTAAAACAGATGGTCTATTTAAATGCTCTGTGAAGAGATTGACTTTCACAGCATGTCCTCATGTTACTGTTGGCCAAACACCCAACTCCAGATTTTTTTCTAATCACTCTTCTCATGTACATTTCAAATGCAAAAACTAATGCATAAACCAAGTGCTTCCTTTTCAATCCATACCTCATCCCTATCTACCACATGTCTTTCCAGTTACAAGCATGGCGTTTGTCAGAAAAACAGTCCTCACTGTCATCTTGTTCATTGATCACTTACTACACCAATGATTGACAGGTAAGAACTACTTACTTCATTGACAGTTGACCACTTACTATACCAATGATCTTAGATTTAGTTCCCTCAAAGAAAACTCTGAGATATAGACTTAAATGACACATTTTATTTGGAAAACAGTCCCAAGAAACAAAAGTGAGGAAGTCAGGAAATAAGACAACGAAGATGGCATTACTGAGCAGGTTTCTGCTCTCTCCCACTCAGAAAATCTCTGAGAACAGTATAGAACAAACCCAGCATCTTCGCAGTTTAGTACGTTAACTTGCATTTACCCACCAATTCCTCACCTCAGTGTTTGACTTTTACTCCCACATCCTTTGTCCCCATCTGTTTTCTGTCAAGTAAGATCATGTACTACCAAAGAAAACTTCAGATAAGACACACCTACACCTGGGAAATACAAAGATGATAGTACACTGGGAGGGTGTCTTGCTTTAAAGCTTGCCTTATGGAACTTGGGTGAGCCTGTAATGCCAGATTCGTGGGACCCCAATAGACTTTAGGAGCCAAATCCGATGCAATCACACAGAGTCTTTATTGCAAGCTCGAGCCTGGACTTACAACCATTCCCAATGTAGCAGTCCCAGGGAGTGAGTCCTGGTCCTTTGTTCAGTGAGATTTTATAGGTTTTGGGGGTATACTCTATGCGTCACAACATCACACAGGAAATCATTCCATACTGCGGGAAAGTCAAACAACAGCTCTTTTTTTTTTTCATTGTTGGTCGTTCAAAACATTACATAGTTCTTAATTATCATATTTCACAATTTGATTCAAGTGGGTTATGAACTCCCAATTATACCCCGTATACAGATTGCTGAATCACATCAGCTACCCTTCCATTGATTGACA